GATGACTTTTTTCAGGTTGAGATGTCTGCAGGTTTTCTAAAACAATACAAACTAATGATTTCAGGACAGTGGTGGAGTGCCAGAGCAAGGTCCCAGCTGCAACCACTGCAACCCTGGTAGTTCTCGTGAATATGCCAAGTATCAGCACTGAACATCCCTACTGTATACACATTATGGACCAGAGCATTTTTTCCATTTTAGCTGTGGGCCTATTCAGTCAGCAATAATTTTGTCATGAATTAAAATAGTAAATTAATACACATATACCAAAAACAAAACAAAAATGATTTTTTTAGTTTGACCAGTGTTAGTTTTAAAACGAGTGTTACTGTAGATAAAAAAAGAAAAGAAAAAACTATTTCTATAATTCTTCTCATCTATAACTTTTTTTTTCATACTTATATGCTACTACAGTGCTTTACAGCGATCTCCCAGGTCCTGTAATGGTGCTAACCAGCACAGCTTCCCCTCTGAAAACACAGGGGGTCGCACGCTCACTCGGCAAAGTGGCCATTCAGAGAACACCTACTATTTTTATCTGTGGACAGACGTTGATTGGCATCAACTTGTCAAAATCAGTCAAAGTACCCTTGCTATTTCTCATGTGATTTGCCTGACAGATGAAGTCACACAGGCACAGTTTAAATCCTTCTTTTCTTATTGAGAAGTAGAGTGTAAAAGTTTGGGTTGATATAGTCAGGGCCGGATTTACTCAAATTATTATTTTTTTTACTGCCCGGAACTGCATGTTCCGGGCGTCGGGGGATTCCACATCGCTGCCGCCCTCTGCTTCCTGCCGCCCCGAAGCCGGGCCTCGGTGGCCTTGTGGGGAATCTGGCACTGGATATAGTTAGGGTACCTGTCATTAAGGAAGTGCATGGGCTGGGGTACGGATAGAGGTTGGGTTGACCAAAAAATGTCCTTAGCTTATTTTAGACCTAGTGACATCATCACTGGGTCCCTGTGTTTCTTTATTAGTGATAAACCTTTATGCGCTTAAAACTTCCCCCCTCCCCCATTTTCTGTCAGTGCAGATCAGTGTATGATCATGTATGGGTGCCTTCAGTTGTGTATACATTTTATGATCTGGTGCAGTTTATGTTCTTGTTGGTGCACGTAGGAGTGGAACATCTTTTTACGTAAAGTAGCAATGTACGCTGTGAACTCAAGACAAGGCTGGCTTTCTTTGCTCGAGAACAGACGCTGTTTGGGTAATTGTGTAATCCGGTCACTTGACACTTCATATTAGATAGTGAGGACCGTGACATCTAATACATGTTGGCTTCAGATTCCAGCTGTGATTTGTGAGAATAACCAAAGCTGCAATAGTGCAATAGGACCTCTTACAGTACAGTTTTCCTGGAGAAAATCGGCAAGAGGTAAGCCTAAACTTAAAGGCTGTTAATGGAAAACTCCTGTAAGGGTTGACATTTCCGCGGGGCAGCAACGCACAAACGTTAAGCCCATTTATTTTGAATGGACTGATAACGCATCCCAGCATGGCACCTGATTTTTTCTTTTCCAGGAACTACCTTGCATTGCCATACTGCAGGGTAGGTGTGCTGCTTTAGTGTGTCATGTGCTATTCAAAATGAATGTCGCATGTACTGCACATTGTGGTAACAAGCACATTATTGCACCAACGGAGGTGTGAGCCCGGACTAAAAGACCCTGTGATAAGATAAATTTAACATTTATTTGTCTGTATTCCATACTGATCTTCTGGCTTTGATACTGTTCAAAAATAACAAAGAACCAAAACATGCAGATAGAGAGTTCTGCTAATGTGTCACATGCTTGTCCTGGGTCTGTGACTCTGAAAACATAGAAGCTAGAGACAGTCAGGAAACTGGCACTTTCTGAAGGTTCAGCATTCACATCATCCCTCATATGTTATTAATCCCAAATAGCTAGACAATCAAACTCCTTAACGGCTAATGCTGTTTTATGTTTTTTTCACATGCAGGGGGCGCTGCGATGCGGGCAGGTGTACAGGAAGGTGACCGCATTGTGAAGGTAAGGATTGTTAACACAAAGCTGGGTAGCTAGCTCACCATCCATGCCTTAAATGGCAATCTGTCTAGCAAGATGTTAATTAAAGCTGAATGCTGGTTCATTTATTTATATATAATATACATATATATACAGTACAGTACACGTATATATACACACACGGCAAAGTACTGATTTACTTTAATAGAGGCCCCACCGCCAACACAAAGTTTCCTTTCCTTTACTACCCCTGACCAGAGTGTAATACCTGGTACTTCGGGGTATGTGTGTCCTGTTACACGGGGGAGGGGAGGGAGTTATCAACCTGACTTGGCGGTTACACGTGGATTTTTCTCCTCCCTCCTGGGCACCAAACAGAGGTGGGGGGCAGAGGAAGGGCATGATATGTATGTACAACTGGTGGGACAGGCTTGTTGCTTTGTTCCACATGAGCAGGGCACAAGTTGACTTTTAGCACACAGTTGTAATTTTTTTTTTTACTGTATAATAATAATAATAATAATGTTATTTCTATAGACCATGGTAGTGTATAAAGCAAAAGTAGAGGGCAGTGCAGGAAATAACAATAAATAATACATTGTAAAGAAAATTAGTTGCAATTGTTTAGCAAGTACAATGAAAGGCAAGAGAAATGATGGCCCTAGCATTACCAGATTACAATCCAGGGTAGGAGTAGGCAAATCAATCTGTTGTGGAACTACAAGTCCCATGAGGCATTGCAAGACTCTGACAGCCACAGACATAACTCCCAGAGGCAGAAGCATGATGGAATTAGTAGTTTTAGCACAACTGGAGAGCCGAGGTTCCCTACCCCTAGATGTAATAACGCCTGAATCCACACCTTACCAGATGTTTACCTAGATATCAGAAACAGGCTACATCTCACGTCCTGTTGGGGTCATTCTTTAAGGAATAATAATAAAGTGAAAAGCTGCTCATTTAGCAATGTCTTGTCACTTTTTTTGCGCAGGTAAATGGCACTTTGGTCGCAAACAGCTCTCATATCGAGGTGGTCAAACTCATTAAATGTAAGTATTATTTAAAATATTGCTTAAAGAAATCTATAATATTGTATTTTTTATCAATTGCAAAAGTGTCATCATTGTTGGTTCAAGATGTAATGCTGCTCCAGGTCGATCCTCGCCAAATGAGTGTCAGCCCAGCTCGTATCTGGTCAAATTAATAGAAATATGGTATAGCGGCACACCAAAAAATAAGTTGCGCTTAGTCAAAGAGTCAGGAGTAGACTCTGACTATGACTAAGCACAAGGTGGTGTGAAATGCGTAAGCGAAGCTCCCCTGTTGTCTCTCCTGGATTGCCTTATTGATTATAATAAATAGAAGCCACAACTTGTTTTTGGAGTGCCGCTATCCTTTATTTCTAGCGTCAGTTATAGATGATTGAAATAAAGATAATCGTGTTAATTCTCCATTGATACTCTGGAGAAATTGCCTTTTCTTTTTAAATTCATGTTTCCATTGCTTTCTTTTGTCTCCTTCTGGCTCAACTACACATACTGTACATTGCTTAGTAGTCAGCAGTATGAGGTTAGGAAAGTTGGCGCTATTAATTTCCGTGTTTGGTATTTATTACCTATGCTCCTCAGCTCCATCTAGTGGCCATAATGCAATATTTTACTTATTGACTCTAAATTGATTACATTCCTGGAAACTTACCTGGAAAGAAAATATACTAATAACGTGCAAGTTTGCCCTATTGGCATAGAACACATGTACTTGCCGTTTTGACGAATGGCAATGGAATTTTTCATTAATGCACCCCTAGGACTTTTGACCAGAATCAAGTAGGTCATATAAATAAGACTTTTTACCCATGTAGATCATATAAATACACCCCCAAGACTTTTGAGCCGTGTTGGTCATGTAAATACACCCCTTACATTTGACCCATGTAGGTCCTATAAATACACCCCTAAGGCTTTTGACCCATTGAGGACATATGAATACACCCCCAAGACTTTTGACCAATGTTGGTCATATAAATACACCCCTAAGACATTTGACCCATGTTGGTCATGTAAATACACCCCCAAGACTTTTGACCCATATTGGTCATGTAAATACACCCCCAAGACTTTTGACCCATGTTGGTCATGTAAATACACCCCCAAGACTTTTGACCCATGTTGGTCATGTAAATACACCCCCCCCCCCCCCAACCCTTTTTTACCCTTTATGTTCTATAAATCAACAT